TTCGAAAATGAGTAGCGCCTCAAAGTGTTTTGAAATAAATTCAAAAAAAAAAAATTTATTCTGATTTTCGGTAAATAAAAGTGGGGCGTTACAGCTACGTCTTTCTTCAATCCTCTCCACCAAAACGACCTTTTTAGGTCATGATACATCTTTGTACTTCCTGGATGGGCTAGGTATGGTGCGGTATGAGCCTCAGTCAAAATCTCCTTCCTCAACGCTTTGACTTTTGGCACCACAATCCTGCCACGAAACTCCAAGGCCCCATCAGTGCCTCGGTGAAAACCCTCGACGCCTCCGACATGAACTTTGGCATCAATTGCACGAATAAACTCATCTGAAGCCTGTTCTTGCTGGATCCTCTCCCTCAGCGTCGGCTGAACTTGCATGGAACTGACACTCCCCGTAATGGCTGTAGGAAGTGCATCAATCACCTGAATTTGCATCCGGGCGAACTCCTGAATCAACTGACTCTGCTGAGTAACAACGTAAGTCAAGTCACCCTTCACCTAGCGGCTTAGGGCATCAGCAACAACATTCGCCTTTCCCGGATGGTATTGAATCGTACAATCATAATCCTTGACGAGCTCTAACCAACGGCGCTGTCTCATGTTGAGCTCCTTCTAAGTAAAGATATATTGTAGGCTCTTATGATCAGTAAAAATCTCGCATCGACCGCCGTAGAGATAATGTTGCCAAATCTTAAGGGAATGAACAACTGCAGCTAATTCCAAGTCGTGCGTCGGGTAGTTCGGTTCATGTGGTTTGAGCTGGCGTGAAGCATAAGCAACGACCTGGCCATCTTGCATGAGTACACACCCCAAACCCTGCTTCGAAGCATCACTATAGATGGTGAAACTCCGAGAAGGATCTGGAATAGTCAAAACCGGGCTGTCGTAAGACTCCTTTTCAGCTCCTGAAAACTCGACTCACAACGGTCTATCCATTCGAACATCACCGACTTCCTCGTCAACTGAGACAAAGGGAGGGAAATCTTCGAGAACCCCTCAATAAATCTGCGATAATAACCTGCAAGGCCGAGGAAACTACGAACCTCGGACGGATTTTTCGGTGCTGACCAATTCTGAACTGCCGCAATTTTGGTAGGATCAACTTCAATACCCGCTTGAGTAATAATGTGGCCAAGAAAGGCCACTCGCTGAAGCCAAAATTCGCACTTGGAGAACTTTGCATATAACTTTTCACGTCTAAGGGTTGAAAAAACGGCCCTCAGATGCTCCTCGTGCTCCTTCTGGCTCTTGGAATAAATAAGAATATCGTCAATGAATACAATGACGAACTGGTCGAGAAAAGGATGAAATACACGATTCATGAAGTCCATGAATACTGCCGGGGCATTACTGAGGCCAAACGGCATAACCACGAACTCAAAGTGACCGTATCTCGTACGAAACGCTGTATTGGGTATGTCTGACTCCTTGATTTTCAGCTGATGGTAGCCTGAACGCAAATCAATCTTGGAAAATACGCAGGCACCCCTCAACTGATCAAATAAATCATCGATCCTGGGAAACGGGTATTTATTCTTGATCGTCAATCAGTTAAGATCCCGGTAGTCGATACACATACGCATGGATCCGTCCTTCTTCTTGACAAAAAGAACTGGTGCTCCCCAAGGAGAAACACTCGGTCGTATAAAACCAAGATTCAGCAACTCTTGAATTTGGGTCTTTAATTCCTGCAATTCTTTAGGTGCCATTCGGTAGGGTGCCTTAGAAACGGGTCTGGCTCCAGGGATAAGATCAATAGAAAATCCCACCTGTCGGCTAGGTGGACCTCCGGGAAGCTGGTCTGGAAACACGTCCACAAACTCACGAACAATAGGGATGTCATGAGGTGAACGTGCCTTTGGCTCATCTCCAACGAGGCTCACAAGGTAACCCTGGCAATCACCCCGTCGAAGAATCTTTTTGGCTTTTGCCATAGAAATAACATGGGCAGAGTACGAGTCCTGGAGCCGTAATAAGTGATCTGATCATCTCCCGGAAGATAAAGAGTAATCTCCCGGTCGTGACATCGGATATCTGCGTAAAAACGTGTTAGCCAATCCATACCGAGTATGAGGTCAAAATCTCTCATCTCGATAACATAAGCATCAGTAATCAGAATACGGCCGCCGATGGAAAGGCTAAGATCGGTGGCTTTAGCATCAGTCACTATCTTTCGTCCCGAGGCTAGACTCACCTCGAGAGGATCGACAGCGGTAACAGAACGAACCCTAATAGCTTCGAGACATCGGCGTGATATAAAGGAATGGGTCGCTCCGGTATCAAATAAGGCATAGACAGGCACATCATTAAGAATAATCATCCTAGACATGGTACCAAGGTGCTGGTCGGCCTCCCTCTGGTCAACTGCAAAGACGCGGGCCTGTTGTCTGCCATGTGGCTGTTGCTGGGGTCGTGGTGGTTTTTGCCTAGGCTGCTGTTGTTGAGGTTGCTGCGGTGGTTGACGTTGTTGCGGTTGTTGTTCCAGTCGTTCTGGACAGTTGGGGCTGATATGGCCTGGCTGGCGGCAAAAGAAACAAATGTTCCGGCCCACGAGGCATTCTCCACGGTGGTGTTTTCCACATGTTGGGCAAGCTGGTATTTGTCTGGGACGGGTCCTCCGGTCATCAAGAGTGGTTCTGAACTTCCTCTTCTTCTGGTTCTTTGATGGTTGAGCAACTTTGGGCTGGGCTGGTGGCTGAGCAACTGGTTGGGCTGGTGTCTGGATAGCTTCTCGTCGGATACTGGCATCGACTTCTTGAGCAATGGCAACTGTGCGGGCGTCGGTCTGGACGCCGTGAATTACGATGTTGTGGCGGACTGCTGGGCGAAGTCCGTCGGTAAAACGGTGGGCTCTCTTCGCCTCTGTACCCACAAAATCGAGTACAAAAGCTCCGAGACGGGTAAACTCTCTCTCGTACTCGTCGACAGAACGAGTACCCTGGGTGAGTGACAAAAACTGGCGCTCCATGTCTGCTCGGTAATACGAGGGATAATACTTCTCTCGGATCAGCTCCTTAAATTGGTCCCACGTACAACCTTCTTTCTCGCCGGGACGCATACTCCAATAGGCATTCCACCAGAGTCGGGCATCCCTGGTCAGCTGGATTTGTGCACATAACATGCGATAACGATCATGGCAATCCATGACCTCGAAAATCATCTCGAGGCCCTGAATCCATTCATCTACTATACGAGGATCTCCTGTTGGTGTTATATACTTAAGCTTTGCTTTAGTGGATATTACACTTGTTATT